TCTTTTTTTTTTTTTTTTTAATTTTTTTTTTTTTTGGTTCGCCCTTGTGCAAGGCCTCTGTCCTGTTGGTGGTAAGAGAACCACAGGGATTGAGGCTTTTCCCTCCGGGCCGCTCCATCTATTGGTGGGGAGCAACACCTGCTGGAAACCAGGTCCAGCGTCCCTTAAATACATCGTTTACAAAACAGTACTTTATTGAAAGTGACGCCATTGTGCTGGAAACCGGGTCCAGCGTCCCGTATCCGATCTACTCTTCCATACCTATCCTGCAGCAGGGTCGGGTATTGGGGGGACAAACACCGGGGGGCACCAGTGGAGTCTCCCTCCATCCCCTAGCCCCCGCCATCCACCTACTATCCTCATGGCGCCTATTGTGTCTTTGCTGAACACTAGACTCTTTCCTGAGAATGCACTGAGAAATTTATGTTGAGAATCGGGCTCAGCAACTTACAGGTTTACAGCTGATATTGTTGCTGATCAGACGCTTGTCCGGAGGGGGGAGATGGGTGAGAGCATGTGAAGGGTGGACTCCCTGGCTGGTTGACTCCGTGTCTGAGGGATGAAGTCAGTCCTTGGTAGTACAGAAGAGGAAGAAGGGTTTTTTTTTTTTTTTTTTTTTTTTTKTTCCCCTTAAACAGATCCTTATGATTCCGGCTCCTTTTCCATTCTCGGGAGCCATCAGTCCCGTTCCTATTCCACCGGCAAGTCAGAAAAGATTAGGAGGTATATGCGCACTCATGCTCCTCCCCCTTGTGGTGCGAAGGTCCGAAGGACGGGGCATTGATTAGTTCCCGACGGAAGAGGAAGAGGTTCTTACTTTTTCTTATTTGCGTAAATGATGATGTTGGCATTGTCAGAGGCCCCATTTTGCACTTGCGGAAAACCCTCAGTGAAGCGGTGCGTGAAGAAGGAAGGGCCAAACAGGGGAAGGTTCTTCTACGTTTGTGCGGACACAGAACTTCGCTGCAAGTTTTTTCAGTGGATGGACGATGATGAGAGGGGGGATGCTTCTCCAAAGAAACAAGGAAAGGGAAAAGAGCTCGTTCCGAAGGGAAGGGGAAACCAACCATCTGCTTCGTACACCGTATTCGGGTCGGGAGTGACAGAGAAGGAGAGAGAACTGTTCTGTGGGACTCGTGTAAACCTCCGTCCAGAGCATGGCGGGGGTGTGCGAGTATCTTATCCGTACCACCCAGATAGGAACGAGGCATTGAAAAAGAGAATTGACGGCTACAAGTGGCTGCCAGAGACAAAGGAATGGTTTTGTCCTGAGTACAGTGTGCCTACTCTGCGTTCGTTCCTGCGCTCGGTGGGCATTCCCTTTCCTTGGTGATCACCAATGCCTATCACTTCCTTAGCGACTGTATCCTCCTTTTCTTTGCGTTTTCTATCCTCGTGATTGCTGCTCAGGATCGAACTCGCGATCTGTTTATTCGACGAACTTTATTAGCAGCTACACGTGTATACCATTCAGCCACATGGGCTCTGGGTCACAGACAGTACCCTTTCATTCCGTCACATTCGCCTTTCCACTGTCTCACTCTAGCCGCTGTAACCTGTGCTGTATAATGGATAATGGATGTAGTCGTATGGTGGATGATGTCTGTTTTGGTGACATGCTCCGCTGATGCACATGTGGAGGGAGGTAGGTAGGGAGGGAGGGATGTTGCCGTCGTTCTCATTTTCCATTTGTGGGACCCTCTACCGGGTAGGTCGCGGCTGCTTCGTTCTGGGATACTTAGGTATATCAGTAGGCAGTGTGAGGTATACCTTAGTGAAGAGTATAGCTTAGCTTTTTTAAAAGGGGAAAAAAAAGAAAAAAGGTCTTGGATGCCTGTCAGAATGCTCCCACCCCTTTACCCACTTGAGGAAGGCCCAGGAGTGCGTTCATCGATAGTGATCAGACGCATGTGCTTCTGCCACCCACAGCATTCGCACTCCTACCGGTAGGCGGAAGACTTAGTCTCTACTCATCTTCCAGATCTGATAAGTCATCTGTACTCATAGGGGTACAGGAAAGCGCAGGACATGCTGAATAGATCGTCTTCAAGTCAAGTCGTAAGGTTGCAGTCTTTTTTTTTTTTTTTTTTTTTTTTTTTTTAAAGGTTGGTGTCATTCTGATTTCAACAAGAAGACGAGTTTCGATTGTATGATGTTCAGAGGGAGGAGGTCCGTAGGTAGGAATGTTGCCACCGTCAAGATTTCGAGAGCAAGACGAGTTCGATTCTGTGCTCTGAGGACATTGTTCTTTGTACAGAGTTTATGCGAGCACGTAAACACAATTTTCCTCTGGAACGGCAGGTAAACACACTTTGGATTGTATCCAAGGCATGTGTGAATGGCAATGACCCAGTGGAGAGAGCCCTCCATGCATGCCGATATGGGCGTACGCAGAGAGAGAGAGAGAGAGAGAGAGAGAGAGAGAGAGAGAGAGAGAGAGAGAGAGAGAGAGAGAGAGAGAGAGAGAGAGAGAGAGAGAGCCTGTAACCTTTTTCTGTGCATGGGGATGGTGGGTTACCTCTATTTCCCCCCCCCATTTGAACATGTGAAAGATGTGATTGATTTCTTTGGTGATCCTTCTGATTGCCGTGAGAAGTTTTGAACACTGTATTTGTCTCAGCTGCGAATGCTTGCGTAACGTCAATTATTGGAGCTCTACGACCTTCGATGTACATGCCCTCAGGGAGGCTTCATTTCAATTCGATGCATTTTGCCGGGAGGCGGAGTTGTATTCATTCAACATTTCACAGGGTGGTTCCGCACATAATATCCCCGACTTTGCATTTTGTTAATGTGTGTCGCAACTCTCGTTGAGCCTGCTCGAAGGATTATAGGGCATACTCACACTAGGACTCTATGACTTATTTATGGCCGTAATTGTGGTCGGACACATACAGGTCCGGTCATAAATGCGGTCACGTACATTTAAACCACCAGTACTTCTGGGGGCACTTTCTTCCGAGGCTGCAAACGGCCTGCGCGCCGAGGTTTTTCGAACCCCCAGCGTGACGTTCTTTTTATCTTTTGGCTGGCACCACCAGCCATTGTGGTCCAGTAGCCCCGAAGGTGGGTTAACTAGGCGCATGATGTCAAGGGCCTGCGTCCGAGGTATGGACTAAGTACTGGTGGCTTAGGAAAGTGCTAGTGTGCGTACCCGTGCTTCGCGTGGCTCCATATTCGGTGCAGTTGGAAAATGATTCCAAATGATAGATCCTCTGCTATTGCCACACTCCGGAACTCACTGCGCCCTATTCCGGGCCTGTGTCAACGAGAAAACATAAACTTCTGAAAAAAATGCGGGGAAAAGGACAACAGCACCTGTGTCTGGAAATGTCACGACCATACAACCAGGACGTGTCTGTCGGATGGAGTGACAGCTCTCCGTGTGACATGCGGACCCCAAAGGAGAGAATTTGGGTGGTCGACGACTCGTCCGTCTACCAGTTTGGCAGCCATTTTCTTCCCTGTTTTTTTTTTTTTTTTTTTTTTTTTTTTCCAACACAGGCTCCATCTATTCGGTTTGGCGCCTATCACACCGAGGCAGAAAAAGCCTCCAATTTTTTTTTTCGCGCTGCCACCCTATTCCGAACGTGCCAACTTTCATTTTGGTGGCCGGCGCATTTTTTTTAGGGGTTCAGTACGCCCTGTCTTGTGGGTTTTTTTTTTTCTTGGATTTTGGCCGTCGATCTCCAGCGATCGACGGCGCGCACTGATCCAGGATACAAAATTTAGTCCTGAGCTTCTCCTTTGTTTATTCTTCTTCTTCTTTCTTCTGTTTTTTCTCTTTCTGCTTCTCTTCTTTTTCTTCTTCTTTTTCTTCGCCTCCCTTCACCTTCCTCTGATGTAGCGCTGCTCCCTCCCCGTGTCCCCTCCCATCACCTCGCCGCCCTCCTTCCTCCCTTCTCCCTCCTCCCTCACTCCTCTGACGTGGCGCTCATCCGTCCTCTTTTCCTCCTCTGACGTGCTGCTTCTCCCTTCTCCCTCTGTCTTGGCGCTCCTTCGTCCTCCCTCTGACATCGCACTCCAGCACAGGTGGGAAACAACAGCTGATCCATCCCCCACCCTGTAAATGGACAGTCCATAATCCAGCCCCCTCCTGCACGCTCTCCTCCCCCCCCCCAGCACACAAAATTCAACATGCATGAAGATAAGAAAAGAGGTCGGATTTGGGCCCTACTCCCAAGGCACAGCGAGGTTCGGCAGTGAAAAAAAAAAAAAAAAAAAAAAACTCAGTGGTTTTTTAGTGTGCCCGGGGTACCTCGGGCGTGGTCCCTAACCGGGCGGGGTGCCCGGGGCGCCCGGGCGGGCGCCCCAGGAAAGCTAGTTGAGAGTTGAGACCCGAAGAGAAATATAGAAGTTGCACAAGACTCATTCCTAATTCAACATGTTTCTCATAAGATCTACACCATCTTTTTTTTTTTTCCAATTTTTGTTTTTAAGCAAAGCACCCGTCTGGGTGCTAGGGGTGCTGATACGCGCAGTCACCACTAAAACCACTGGGGGGGCCCTCCTACACCATCTTGTTCATGTTTGAGATTGACAAACGGAATATAGATGGGTGGAGGGAGTTGCGGTGTGACAGATTGGAGGTATGGATCTACCCATGAGAACCAGAGGAGCAAGGGCCGGAGGGGGGATGATGGGTGCAGATGATGGCCGACCACTCCTGGGTCCTATTCAGACAGACGCATGGTCGTTGAGATCAAGCGACTTTCATCATTCACGTCTTTAGGGAACAGTATGAGACCATTGATTTTATTGACCCCTTACCAGCATAGGGCTGTGACGCCCAACCTCACGCCCAGCTCGATCTTGATCGGAGTGGGATGGGGGCCCGAAAGTGCGAAAAAGGCGGTGTGCCAAGGATTTTAGGATAGTGGGGGTGGAGTCCCAGGTTGGAACTGAGATCTCCTGTGGCAAGTTTTAGGGACAACGGTGTAAAATGGTACGCACGGATCGTATCTGGCGTTTTAATTCTCATAGAAAGGAAGGCAGGCCACCTTTCGTGGTTTGCGCACGGAAGGGAGGCCGCAGACGGCGTGCAACATAAGGCAGATGGCATGCGCTGTGCATCCCAGACTAAAGATCCCGGGGTATTTTTCCACAATCACAGTACCGACAGATCTAAACACTCTTGCATTCTCGAATATAATCCCAACAACATTACCTCTGCCAACGAACTCCATCTCAAGCCTAAAAATGGGACTCACCATCTTCTCTGGTTTCGCCTTCGTGGTGGGTCACGCGGTTCGACCAGTTGTCGGCGCCGCTCGTAAAAACCTCGGTTCGAGTTCGGCGGGTAAATTCCAAAGCTTGGCCTGTCTGGTACCGTTGAGTATCCTCGCACGGTGGGTTGGGCCAATAGGGAGCTATGGAATTCCACGGTACCACTGTGAAGTGGTGGTATGGAAGGAGGAGGTGAAAGAGAGGGAAACTGGTAGTAATAACGACGAAGCCCGGGGATATGTAGTATTGAGTATTGTCCGTATCTAGGTAGTCTGGGCCCCTACGGTTGCGGGTTATAGCCCAGTGGAAACCCCCGAGCACAGTCGGGCGTTCTCTGTTAAACAGGGGAATTCCAGGTTTCTCAAGTTTCCCCGTCGTCTGAGTTGTTCACGTTCTCAGTACTCGCGGTACTCCGGATCCCTCAGTCTTCCACGTTCGGTGATCCAAAAGGGACTTTTCCCGGCCATATCTGGCTAATGAATTCGATTTCCCGCATTCTTCTGATAAATTCGGGGTCGGCTCATGCAGACGCGCGCGTATGCCGCGACTTGGATTTTCGAGATCGCGGTCATACGTGAGCGTGCGCACGAGCGGCGGTGAATCAGGCTCATATTTCCTGTGTCGCGATAGCGATCGTATCCTACATGCAACTATCCTACTCATGGTATGTATGGTGAGATCCAGATGTTTCATTCATATCCATACCATTCACGTGACGAAAAGGAGAGAAAAGGGGGAAAGGACAATCAACATCTCACAACGTTCTTGGTGGCTTTATGACGATTAAGGACTAATAATAAAAACCCAAACATTCGTAGCAGGTGCTTTCGATCAGATGCAGATGGAGGATAGAATTAGACAAGCATCACAAAACAAGATCGGGAATCCGAAAAGATCATTAATGAAGAAGAGTTCATACCCATTCATGCATACATACGAGGCAAAAGCGACAAAGAAAATTCGATACGATTTACAAGGAAGAGTCAAAAAAGGCCGCAACAAAAATCGGCCATAGCAGAAGCCAAAATTATACAGACGAGCAAAAGAAAGAACCTTATCTCACACCCACAACTGCTTTCTCTCTCTGCTCCACATCCCCAATGGGGGCAGTCCGTCGCTTCGCATCAACACAGAATTGTCACCCCGCTTGGTTCGAGCATGCATGTCAGGTTCGCCCGTGCGCCACAG